TTAAAAGTAAAAATGAAGCTGTATAACCCTCTACCCCCTCTCTCCGCCCGTCTTTTTACTCAATTTTATCAACTTTTTGAAAAAAAAACGGTTCAAACTCCTTATAATCATTAAAAAGATCATTACAAAGAGCCCTGTCACACTGTCCCATCTATGTTTGAATAAATACTGCTTTGATAACAAAAAAAAAAAACAATGCACGCCAGGAAAAACACCCGGGGTGATCATGTGGCAGGAATGAGAGACAACAGATGGTAAGTGAGAGGGAAGAAAATAAGAGAATAAGGAAAAGAGGAAAAAATTATGGGAGAAAAATTAAGAAAATAAGATATGAAAAAAAAGAAATAACAAACCCATGTAATATTAAAATGTGTGGAAGTTTGTCGCTGTAATGGAAAGAACCGCCTGAACGGCTGTATGGAATTATGTGGATGAGAAAGGCTCAAAACAGAGAAGAATGGAGAAATTGCCAATTTCATCGACGGTGAGAAGAAACAGAATGATAAAAAAACAGCCGGATAAAGTACGAAAAGTAAAAAAAAATTGAAAAAAGACAAATCAGTACAAAAAAAAGAAAAAAAACCATACTAGATTCAGTTCCCTTATTTCGATCCGTTAAAATATCATTTGCTGGACCGATCAGAATTTGTCCCCAATCAATGTACCGGCTGTAGCACAACTGTTGATTATCCATGATTCGCACGCCACCGTTGATGATTGCGGTCAATTTGGGAAGGCCAACTTCCACCAGATGTGTATTCTGGTAAATTACAAGTGCATAATTCAGGATTAATTCCTGTCCACCGATGATACGCAGATTTGGGAACATACGTTTCAATGATCGTAATTTACTGCAAAAAAATATATAAAAACTTCATTTTTTAACAGCTACATTTTTTAACAATCTCAAAATTACCAAAAAAAACCCCTCAAAATTGAGTCCCACCAAACTTTTACGAATGTCAGGCTACCGGGTGTCTTTTTACTGCACTCGTCTTTTTACTTATAATGGAATTGTGAAGGCCTACCC